AATTGGTACACTCATGAGTATGCCGACTCTGAATCCCTAACTATGAAAAGGCAAACCCTAAGGAGCAGAAGGCATTTTCGGACAGCTCATACCTTAAGTAAACTAGAGGTTTTAGAATCAAAACCTGAATACCTGAGCACCTGACCTGAAAACACTGAAGTTCCAGTGTTTCCCTTCTATTCCTGGCACTCAGTGTACCTTCTACACCTGCTACTTCTTATCATGTCCGGCCAGAGGCTCCCCACCTCCACGAGAGCTGCTCAGGACGAAGTGCTGTGCCCCAGGTAGCCAACTCCTTCCAGCCCCAGTCCTAGCGCTGCAAGTCCTCCTGTTCAGCTGGTCTCGTTCCAGCAGTTTCTGCCTCAAGAGTCTAGGACGCTAAGTGTAAATCTTGAGGGGAAAAAAAAAATAGATATTAAGGGCAGAGCTAGAGCTAAATTGAAATGAGACAGGATAAAAAAATACCAAGGTCTTAGGATTACATGTTTGAGATGTGTGAGGCTGGGTTTGGCAGTATTCTGGCATAGTTGGGAGTTACTTAACTAGAGCTGACCTTGGTGCGTATGAAACTTTCCCCTTTAGTTAAGAATGGTTTTTTAAATATCAGAAGAGTTTACCGCCCCTGGGCCATGCGGAGGGGGGGTTGACTTGGGAAAGGGGGTGAGAAAAGTCTCTGCAGTGATGGCAATGTTCTGTATATCTCAAGAGTGGTTTGAGTTACATAGGCATGGGCATTCATTAAAACTCACAAATGTACACCTAAGATTTGTGCATTTCTTTGTATGTAATTTCTACACTAAAAACTGCAAAATACTGAACTCTAGTGAATAAGCATGCTGAAATAAATATTTATATGTCTATTTACTTGAAATGTATTAAAAATGGATGAATGAATGTGACAGATAGATGTAATGAAACTAGTCAGATGTTAATGATAAAAGCTAAGTGGTGAATGCACAAATGTTTACTCTAAAACTCATTCAACATCACTGTATGTCTGAAATTTTTCATAATAAAATGTTGGGAAGTTATCCAGTGCTATATCAGAAGCAAACACTGAGCGCACAGCAATTCTGAGGACTGTCACTGGGAGTGTGGAATTCCTTCCAGTGCACCCTCTGCCCTCCCCTTGGCCATTGACCTCCCCTCTGGCACAAACCCTGGCCCACATGTCCTCCCTCTTCCTCTGCGTGCCCTCACCCTCTGGGCAAAGGTGAAAGGAAAAACAAAACAGGGTACTCAGCTAACGAGCAGATCTTCGTGAAGACTCAACCTTACAATGCTGTCACGGCAAACTGTCAGGATACATACTTTTCTGCACCTTGAGCAAAAGCTTGACTGTTTAAACACACACACACCAAAAGAAACCCAACCTAACTGCAATAACTAATGTAAGTTGCTTAATATTTCAGATTTAAAATTATAGGAGAGATCGTCTTCTCAAGGCATGAAAAAAAAATGATCAGTATTTGCCTCTTATTTCCATTGCTCATGGAGAAAGAGCTTAATATTGATTGAGCCCTCGGTATGGGTTTTGCATACATTGGCTCACAGAGTCCTCACAGCCCCATTATTCTCTATTTATAACAATGCTCATAGTCATGGAGCCAGTAAACAGTAGATCTAGGACTCAAACCAAGATGATCTCAGCTCAAAACTATTTTTCACCAAAGCACACTGTCATGGACATTTAAAATGGGTTATGTCCTGCAATGCTAACATCACTACAAGAACAGCAGTGGTCATTTGGCTAGGATTCTACAAATAAAGGCAGTTTCATGTTCTACTTCAACTGTTTTTACCCAAACACCACCCACCAAAAGGTATTTTTAAGTTTACACCCCCCACCAGTGTTGTTGACAAAAGTAACAAGAACACAAAATTTCGCAAACTTTTCCATAGCTTTGGGGGAAGTTCAGGGTTTTAATAAATCCGCTTAACGGAAGGGAATTTACTTTTGATGTCACAGTGTTGCTAGTTCATAAATTAGAATTAGATGGCTCAATTACTCCCTAATGATCTCCTACATCATGCTTAGACCATCAGACAAAAATTCTTACCCAACGGAATAATGGAACCTTTTCTCCACGTGTTAAGCCAGATTCCTAAACTACAGAAAACTGTATAGTCATCACCCAGTAGATGGCACTAGTTGTGCTACTGTTTTTATTCCTTTCCAGTCCTGGGACCTAGGTCAGAGGTCTTCATCTCCTACTAGGGTTATAAATATTTGAAACAGAAGACTAGTCCCCATAGCAATCAAATAATGCCTTGCATATCACTTGTGGGAAATATTTAGCTGGCTGTGTACAGAACGAGATTGAGATCTGAAAGTGGTGGGCTCTATTAGGCATTCCTAGGAAAGTTTATCATGCCTCCAACCCACTACTACTTTTCATTTGGGCCAGCCTCTCTCCACATAATAAAGTGGGGGACTGAGGAAAGCTCTGGGGTTAAGAGGAAGGTAGAAGATGCTATAAACATGTATTTGCTGAGATAAGCAATAATAAAATCTATTTTCAACAAAGTTTAATAGAAACCTAGGGTGAAAAAGCTTTTTACTTTGATACAGGCCCAAATGAAGTTAGGTCACTCCATTATAGATGATCTGATTTTAATACTGACATAATTTGAATAATTCTATTTGAACCTAATTCAAAACTCAACAGAGCTCACATCCAGAGGCCATACTCGAGATTACCCTGCTTTACTCAATTCTGTCCTTTGGAGGCATATGCTTCCAACTATTTTTCCATGTTTTGCAAACCAGAACTTTGGTATATTCAAGCCTTACAAAGATAAAAGAAACTATATACGCCTTCCCAGTTATTTCTGTGTTGGGAGAGGTATCAAGGGCAGGACACAAAAATCTTCAAGGCCGTTATTTCAAGTGTAGCTCTAGCAGACCTACACTTATAAATCCTCCTTCTGATAGAGCAGAGAAGCAACTCATACTTCTAACAAGTTCCTGGGGGATATCTCCTATCAGTGGCTTATAAATATACCACTGTGTCAAGTTTCACTCAACATATATTCAATATCTGGATAAGAAACAACTCTTCATTCAAAATATTTTGATGTAGAAAAATAGAAAATTTGACTTCTGGTTGGAAATATTAAAAAAAAAAAAAAAGGCTTATTTCTGAAAACATGCCAAGTGCTTCAGTGGAGGTTGTAAGAACATGCCATGGTGAGGACTGTGGTGTGAAAGTGGCCTCTCAACACTCCTGGGGTCTATTGCAGCCTTGGATTGGCATGGTCCTAAAACCTGGGGAGCCACACTAGTTGTGGGTTACCTACCAAGGCCTTTCAAAAGGCTTAAATGTCTACTAGTCAAACTTGTTAAAATGTTCATTCGGCTGCATCACACTATCTTATAGTGGTAAAGAGCCCTTAGGAACATCTTTGGGTCTAATGTTCTTAATGAGAAAAGTGCTAAGTAGATGGCTTATTAGGGACAGCCTGTGGACTTGATTTTCTCTAGTCTGTTTCTTAGTTTGTGATCTGTGCTTTGAGAAACATCATTAGACCCTTTTAGCCCAGAAACCTGGAGTAATGTGGTTAGAGTATTTGGACACAAAGTCTGGTATATCCCTAATAAAGCAAAGGAATTGGGAGAAAAGTTGAATATACCTGGAAAGTAAAATGTTTTCCTAAGCTTCTTCCTCAGGAGGTCAACATACCATTCACAACAGCGCTATTTTCCAAAGGTCACAATTGGATTTCCTCAGAAGCATACCTTAACTGTTAATCATTACAACGACTTCATGAAATGTGGGAGTGTTGCATTACCCTAACATTTAATCATTGGCTGAAGCCTGGTTTTCACCACAGCGAAGAACATCTGCCTTTACCCCTCACATAACCCCCTTTTCTACCAGAAATGTGAAGACTCTTCTCAGATGGGAAATTAAACAAAGAAAAGGCAAAACAGATTTTTATAAAAGCCATCATAGGGCAAGTAATCCCCAGGAGCAGCCTAGAGGCAAAACAGACTGACGTTGGGCAAGTACTCCCATCTTGATACTGCTTTCCCATGGTTTCCAAGGTTTGTTGTCTGGAGAACCTTTCCAAATACATGAAAGAAAATGATCTTAAGAGTCACGGGAGCCTAAAGTTGCTTGGAGCAAACAGTAATTACTTTCATAACGGAAAAGGGAAGTCATTTCAGTAACTGGAATGCCAGATCTATGTAAACTTAAAATTGCCATTGTGTCTTCAGACTGATGTAGAACACGGCCAGTGTGGACCTCTGAAAACACTTTGTAGGACCAGGTAACCAGCTTCCTCCTTTAAACGTTCTCATAATTACACCTTTTTTTTTTTTTACTAACCTCACATCTATTTGTTCTCAGCATCATCCCTTTGGCATTATTACTCAACCCAGCAAATGAAACATTCTTTTAAAATGTTAAATAATAAAAATACAAGTGGCAAGGATTCAGTACTACAAATATTCAGGGCATCAGGGCATCAAGTTAAACTGTCCTCAAAGTTAAAGCAGATTACTAAAAAAAAAAAAAAAAAAAAAAATACAGGAACAAAGCAAAAAAGAGGTGGTATATATAGGAAAACCTGTGTAAATGCCTTTGGGAAAGCACAGTGCAACCCTTCACTATTACACATCATCCTCTGGCCTTATGAGGTTCATCTTCCCAACTCTGTCTTGTAGCCACTACCCAAAAACCCGGCTGCTGAGACTTCAAACCACTTCAGAACTGTTTTGGTGAAATGAAATGGGACCCAATTCTAGTAGGCATGTATTTCTATACTAAATGGTTTTTGTTTTTGGTAGGTGTTTAGACATTTAAAAATTCACAGGTGAAAGCACCAGGAAAGAGGAAGGTAGAAAACTTTCTTCCTCTTCTTGATGAGTACCGTCCAAGCAGACTGGTAGGGCAAATATTCATTATGGACTGTAATTCACTTTGCTTTGGTTTTGGAGGCTTCCCTTAAGAAAAAAGAGATTTGTTAATAAATGATAACACAGAACAACAAGATTAAATTATTGAGGCAAATGTCAATTACAAAAGTAATAGCTTAGATCGTTCTCTATTTAATCTCAGCATGTTAAAGGGTAACAGTATTTCCACACCTAACGCTGCATTTTTTTCTGTTCTTGAGGTGATTGGACGACAAACATTTGACTGCCTATTATGTGCCAGAAATCATCCTAATCACTTACATGGAAAATCTTCAGTAACTCTCTAAAGGGATAATATTACTTACTTGTTTTTATAGTTGTGGAACTTAAGGCTTATAGAGGTTTTATGCCTAATAATTTGTCCAACATCAGAGGTGGAGACAATGGGCCAGGACTGGAAGCTCAGCTATCCCTACCTGATAGTTTACTTTTCTGAAACTCCAAAATTCTTTCTTTTAAAATCATCTTTAACACCATATTCTCCCACAAATAACTAACAGTATTATTGCTCCTACCTCTACTTAGATTTAAATAAAAATTTATATGCTAATTTTTAGTAATTTTCTTACTCCAAACATCTGTAATTTTGTATCTTAAAAAAGTTAGTCACAAAGCCAAATCCACTATAATCACGAGTTAAGAATAAAAGAAAAACGTCTTTCTAGAATATATAAACCCCAGTTACCAAAGTACTATGAACCATGCATAAGCTCCTTGAGATTACTCATCACCTACCCCTTAACTCTACACGATGTCTAATACACAGTGTCATGGAAATTTGTTAGATACACTGAACTGGAGCAAACGAATATTCTGGCACCAACCTTCACATTCAAAGGCTTTGGAGTTTTTAGAAAACAGAGTCTACTTAAATTATTTTGTGATTTAAGGTAGGGACAAAAAGCGACAAATACAGAGCTAAGCAGTCGCCGGGCTGAAGTAATCATTACAACTATAGTAAAATTTACTGGCTCTCCATTGTAAAGCATTGAAAGAGCAAAAATAAGGGAGGTCCGTTAATATTAATGCAAGGTTTATTCGAGATAATATTAAGAACTGAATTCTAACAAAGGAAAAATTTACCAGTTATCCACTCTATAATAAAAAGTGGAACTGGGGACCCTTTATAACACATAAATAAATTCTACCTTTACATTTCTGAATAAAGCTGTATTCACTTCTTAGAGAGAGCCATTTAACTTTTGCTGATAAGGCTTTGTGAATTGTGTTCAGAAACTTTGACAATACTCACATATACACACTCTTCAAATAAGGTTAAGTACCTAGGATTTTCACTCCAGGATGAGTTTCTGTAAGTACCTAGGACACTCTAACTTAAGACTACATATTTCTACATGAATTCAATTTGAATTGCCTTCATCTTTATGTACCACAATTTTTTAAAAAGATCAATGTTTATTATGACTTTTTAACTCCCTCAAATTATACTTTAATATTTGACATGGTAGTTTCAAAAAATAAATATTCAAGGCCTCAGTTTTAAATTTCCCTTCAGTGTAAATGCACAAAGTTGACAACAAATATTAATAGGACTACCCTAAAATAAATGCAGCTTTCTTATAAAAATTACTCGTTATAATACAGTTCCCATTCTATTCCATAATTCTGATGAAGAATATGTTTTTTTGGTAATAAAACAAGAGTTTAGAATGATTCAGTCCTTGGAAAATCTTAATGGCAGTCACTCAATGAAGAAGTCAATCATTCCTGAAGTCACAAACACTCAAAACCTGCTGTTAGCATTGACTGAGTTTTTGTGGGGGTTTTTTGGTGGTTATTGCTTTAGTTGGCAATACCTGAATTTAAGACAAAAGAACATCTCCCACTAAGCCTTATTTTAAATATTACAAAATGTATACAGAAGATAGACTCATAGAGGCTATAATGCTGATGTCTTAAGTAACTCACCCATGAAATGGGTGCGTATTTTTTAGAGGATAACCATAGATCTTTTTGCTCTAAAAATAAATGCCCCTACTTTTCAGAGTGTTCCCATTCTTCAAATTCTTCAACAGGAGACTTGAGCAGCTTAACAGTTTTGCTATAAAAACAAACCACTCTTGTTAACAAACCCAAAACATAAAAGGAAACCGATAAAGGACATAGTTTTCACAGTTAACGATAAATAAAAGTGCAGTAAGTGTTCAAGTAGGGCGTGTAGTTTAAAAACTACATGTGAGTATTTGGCATAGGTCATCTTTTAAAGGCTCTCCGAGGGTCCCTGCCATTACTTATTGTGGTCATGACTGTTTGATTATTAGCTGTTCCTTGTAGCTGTGGATTTGTAGGTCCCCGGCCATTGCTTCTACCAGCATATGAAAACTGGCATCCCCTTGATTCTGGGCCAATTTGAACCCCGTTTCCTAAAAAAGAATATAAAAATTCATCACCATTTTCAGACACTGATCTGTAGGAATACACCTATTTGGAGTTCTAACACATGCTTAAAAGTAGTATTAGAGAAAACAAATGCCTTCATTTTTAAACTACTGGAAAAAACTCAATGTGGGTTCTGCGTTTTTCCAAATGTTATGATTACTGTAAATATATTAACTTGATGCTATATTAATATGGAAAGAGATACAGAACAGTTTGGGCAACAGAATGAGAAATTAGTAAAGAAAAACATAGATAATGCATTGCCTACATTTTAAGGGAGAAAGAAAAAAAGAAAAGGGTAAAAGCGTGTATGAACACTGGCATTAGGTTCAAATATGGTTAATAATTCAAAAAGGACAATGTAATTCTAATTTTTCAAAGGAAAAGACAGCAGTTTCCCATAATGTGATCATCACCAGCTGTGCCAAAACATGCAGCCACCAGGTCAAATAAAACTTCAGCCACCCTACTAAACTCCAATCTCAAAGCTTTTCCTCCATTATTTAAGAATAAAAACTTCAAAAGACACAGCTGATAGAACCATTAACATGATATTTGAGAGTATTTGAGGGGTAAAGGCCAATCTTTTAAAGAAGCAGCTATCAGCATGTGAAAACTTAAGGTGAGCTACTAGTCTAAAGATAAAAGGCTTTTGGTGTGCCAAAATAACCAGTTAATTCTGCATCTTTTATAAATAATCACTAGATAACAGAATTTTGTTAAAAAAAAAAAAAAATCAATGGAAAACCCACTCCACATCACTAAAACAGATTTCTTATTAGCCACTGTTTAAATATAGAATGTGCTCCAGGAGGTGGGTGGGTGAATGGGTGAAATAGGTGATGGGGATTAAGAGTACACTTATCTTGGTGAGCATGGACTAATAGATGGAACTATACTGTATATGTGACACTAATAAAACACTATGTTAACTACACTGGAATTTAAATTAAACAGATAAATACATGTGTATAAAAATGAAAAGAATGTGCTCAATAAGTTAGCTTAAGAGAGTATCTGCTATTTAGAAAATCAGTTACTTGGGAATTCCGTGTTTACTAAGAGCTCCCTTTTAGTGCTAATGTGTGCCTAAAGACAGTTTTCTTCTAAATCTTTCATAAGATATATTCACTTAATTCTTAACACCTGATCACAAATATGCAAAAAAAAAAAAAAAAGAAAATCTTACCCACTGGTCCAAATGTACCTGTACCCATATTATTATTCATGGAATTATTCTTCTGTTCATTGTGTGCCTAAAAAATATGTTTTTAATTTAACCAATTGAAGATTTATTAAAAAAAAAATTATTATAACATGTTATATCCATTCTTTGTTTTTTTTTAACAAATTTTTAACAGATTTATCCAAGTCCATTCAATGTTACTATTCAGGAATGTTTCCCAAACCTTTCATAGCTTCTGTTATATCTTACTACTGTGTTTTCTTGATATTACTCCCCACTCCTCAAAGTGCTCAATGGCACATATATTTAATATATAACACTAAAGATATATAATAGACTCACAAAATATACAGGATGTAAATGACTTTATATTCTTTTTAAAACTGTTCTCATTATCCTCTGGGTATGAAAGGGTTGGATACCTCGCCAAAGAATTATAGTGCCCACTCAAAATTAGCCTAATCATAAAAATAGACTATACGTTTGGATTAATTACCCCTCTGCTCTGTTGTCCTCGATAATCTGGGTTGGGTTCACTGAAATTTGGCACTTCTGAATAAACCATACAAAATCTGAAAGAAAATAAAGCACAAGTTAAATGACTCCTAAAATAATCAGCCTTTTTTTATATAACATGAGTAACTTATAGGAATGAAGAATTTAGGTGTCAAATGAATTAACTAAAAAGCAACATGCTATTTATACAACAAAAACTTCCTAAATGCTATGTTCCATAAAAACAAAGAATTCTAAGATATTCAACAGCCTACAATCTATAAAACATTCTATTTTTTATTTTAGTTCTTCTGTATTGCAAAAATAAATCAGGTCAAAGACTAAGGACACAGAAACACATCTCTGTGCTGTTTTTCCAAATAGGCTGATGCCACTGGACCATGTTTAGGGTTCCAGAGTGGTTTTTCCAGCAGTGGTGATGGATTTGCACTGATCCATTCACACACTCCCATCCAGGCCCTCTTTTGACCAATCACTGTGAATCTGCAAAGATAATCATTCAAGGTTAAGAGTGGATTCCGCAAGTATGTATAAAGACATGTGGCTGTTAAGACAACAGTTTATCCCAATGCTTCTTGTAAGTTGACTATGGCATATAGTAACATTACACATAAGCATTTACTTAGCTCCTCACCCCATAAATAAATTAAAATCAGTTTTGGTATATCCTAGACTGACCCTGACAAAGCCAAGTCACTATGAATTGAGTGACCTCCAGTGGTTCTTCACATAACTGACCTCTTTTTCTGTATACATGCAGGTCAGGAAAAAATCCTAAATCTTTTGATATTGATGCTAAGAGCTTTCGTAACATGTTGCTCTACTACTCTAAAAACAAACATAAGTAAATGATTTTCTTCCTAGCAAAAGCAAAGTGTTACCAGTTTCTGATCTTTAAAAGCTAGCAAGATTATCTTTTCCAAAAAAGAATTTTATCCCTGCAGTGTAGAAGAACATTCCCTCCCCCCTTTTTTTTTGTGGTGCCATGTGTGGCTTCTCCCTCTTCAAATATCCTCGAATTTGATGGGCATTAAGTAGATGTCTAAACATTAACCAAACAGAATGGACTAATGATTTGGCTCATTGCCAACACAATACTTTATGAAGACATCCCAAATGTGTAGGCTACTATGGAGGCTGAATTACCTTTACACCCCTAGAGAGGATGGTTCCTCCAAGTCAGGGTGGAGATTACCAGGGTAGTAGTGTATGGAAGCTCGCATTGTGGCTGCCTGTACGGCACCTAGACTGTGGATAAATACAGGACTTCAATGGTCATCGCTGCAAGTCCTTTTACCACGAGTACATATTCACCCATCAACGAAAAAAGAAAATTTAAACTGTTGGCCTGAAACCTGGCTTCTTACCTAGCTTCTTTGGCAATTCACTAGAAGACAGGACCTATTTAAAATGGCACTATGACACCTGAAAGATGCATGTTCCCAAAGCCTACAGAAATGGCCCCACTGGGGCTCATCTCAAGTGCAACTTCATGCTCTTCACCAGGGAAAACTGACATTCTCAACCACAGGAATCAGTATAGATGGCTGTTAAACTGGTATATATGTGTAAAGTTGTTTTTACAGCGAAGCTTTTGAAGGCATTCAGTTTACCAGTCCAGAAAAGCCAAGAAGTTTATAGTTTATACATACCAGTTATTCTGTAGATATTACATGTAATTTATTCAATTACAGGAAATGCACTTTAATACTTACTCCCCAATTTTTTGAAGTTCTCCACCCCTTCCAGTATATAGTGTCAAACACCCTTTCCACATGGATGCGTACCTAGAAAGAAAAGAAACATCCATTCTGTAGAAATACATGTATTTCCTACTTAAGTAAAACTTTATACTGAATTTTTTGTATTGGGATATAGGTGGAGATCAAACTCTGTGAATACAGTAGTAAATCAAATACAATTAATCTAATTTTGATTAACTTGTTACTTACAAAGGAACAGTACAAAGAAAACTACTGCCAAATTTTGACATGATTATCTAAACTATAACTAACCCTAGAAAATAAAGTCTTTTTGCAAAGCAAGCACTGTTATACTCCAAAAATCACATCTTTAGTCAATTAACAAAAGAACTTTCAATGGAAGAGATTCAGGCAGAAAGTATTTTTCAATCACAGAATATATAGAATCAACACCAAGTGTTTACTTTTATACCCATTTACTTAGTCTACTCAGATTATCAATATAAGTTTTCCCTTTGCCTTCATAAAACACATAGGATTCACAAGCTACTGAAAATTTGATAAAATTTAATCAAGGGCCTAAAAAAACAATCACAAATCTCACCTATCTGCCTTTCCAAACCTGCAATTTTTAGCATCAACTTGGCTGAACAGATTATTTACACTGACCAACTCTGAATGTAGACAGAATCATTAAATATTCCTACACAAAAATCTAATAAAAATGTAAATTAAACATTGTAAAATCAGTCCAAGGTTTGGTTTTCAGTGGTTCTCTATACAACTACTACGGTAACTTTAGACTTAGAATGATAAATTACAGGGACGCCTGGGTGGCTCAGTCGGTTAAATGGCTGCCTTCGGCTCAGGTCATGATCCCAGAGTCCTGGGATCGAGTCCTGAGAGTCCCCCATTGGGCTCCTTGCTCAGTGGGGAGCCTGCTTCTCCCTCTGCCAGCCACTCCCCCTGCTCGTGAGCTCTGACAAATAAAGAAAATCTTAAAAAAACACAAAAAACGAGGGGCACCCGGGTGGCTCAGTTGTTGAGCGTCTGTCTTCGGCTCGGGTCATGATCCCGGGATCCTGGGAGCCCCGCATCGGGCTCCCCGCTCCACGGGAAGCCTGCTTCTCCCTCTCCCACTCCCCCTGCTTGTGTTTCTGCTCTCACTGTCTCTCTATCAAATAAAATATTTTTTAAAAAATGATAAATCATAACTAAATATTGTTAACTAAGTACAGTTATAGTTCATTTTTTAACATAGATTAATAAATACTAGTTAGTTCCACATTATACAGTCTTCTTTAGTAAGGGTAATTCATTAAAGACTCCAGCACTCTTACGCTATACGCTAAGCTGAAGAAAAATGGTGCACTAATATTTCACCTTAGTAACGTAAAAGTTAATGCATGTTGGAGAAAAAATTTGAAGTTACAAGTAAACATTTAACTTGCACTTGTTTCGGGAATGAGATCAATAGCAGGGTTTTCTGATAAACATATCAATATTCAAATTACCATTATTTAGATGTACACCTTTCTTCAAAAACTACTTTTCTTAGATGCAACCAGAATTGAAGGGCCTTACAATAGGCCAGACTCCACTAGATATGTTATTTTAGTAAGGTATAATTATTCCCATTTTACAGAAGAGGAAGTTACAGAAGTATAAAAACCTCAAGGTCACACTGAAGTTACAAAACAGTGGAGTTTCTTTAGTTTTGAATTTTCCTTTAAATTATATTCCTTGAAATTCTATAAATCCTATATGGATCTTGATTTTAGTTTTTCCACAAATTTTTTGATGGACATAGCTATGTATTTTCCATTGACTACAAAATATGAAATATTTGAAATGAGATGCTGTTTACACTGTATAAAATACTTTTAATTACTGGATGAGAAATACTTTGGCAGCCAAAAAAACTTTAATTATGCTAATCCTCACCACACCCTCATACGCAGGAATTTTCTTTTGTGTAAACTACAGATGTGGAAGTTTGAAAGACACAATTAGTGTCATAATGAGTCACTGCATGAGAATAAAATGTCTATGTTCTGACTCTCACTTCCTTCTTTCATGATACTCTCTACCTCACTTCCTGAAGATGTTGTAAGGCCTGGAAGGTATTATCAAAGGGCTCTAACTAACCTCCTCCATTCAGGGTGATCCAATACTTCTCTGAGATTCAATTTACTATGCCAACATCAATATCCACCCACTTTTCCTATAGTTGTGACCAATAAATTATTACAACTCTATTGACCACAGAACTTCCAAAATCCATCTCAGGACCCTTTTCTGGCCTTTTATCTTCCTAATTTAAACATTTGGTAAAATTTTAAAGGCAGTTGAATTACCAACCAAAAAAAAAGGTTGTGCTAAATTATTTTTAAAAGCCAATCTGCCAACTGACTCTTTTGGATGGAGGTATCTTAGACATCTTCCTGCCAAACATTTTCTGCATATCATTCTGGTTTTTGTACTACACTGACCTTATAGCAGTAGGCCCAGGAAATCATTTTCCAGAATGTGCCTTCCAGATATTCTAAACTTCCCTTCTTAACTTTCACATTCGAGTACAAATTTGACATACCACAAAAACTGAATTGTCCAACTACAATCTTATGTCCTGTCTAAATAAAATACTGGCAGGATTTCAAAAGGGGGAAAGGTTGGAAAAGAACTGACAACTCTATTAAATAATTTATGAAAAAAATAAATAGCATGGACTATGCTAATTTTATCAATCTACAAAAAACACTCAGTAATCCCAAAACAGTACAATCTACCTAACCTGTAAACTGAGGGGGAGTGGGTTAGATTCCCCGGTGAAACTGACCGCTTTTTCTGGCAAGGGTGTTCTATCCCAAAGCTGTCCACTGTCCAATATTAACACCCAAGGGGCTCAAAACTCCCTGGAGGCCCACAAAAAAGATACGGAACTCCAGAACTTGCCAAGGTTCCCCAGCCAATGATTCTGCAGACTGTTACTTAGGAAGCCTTCTCCCTCCTCCCCCTTTGGTGCACACCTACCCTCTGGTCAACCGAATAATATCCCCTGGCTGTATAAGACCTCCGATTTCATCCCACACGGAAATAGTGATGCTGCCCGTTTTATCTGCTACTTTGCATGATCTCACTTCATGGCCGTCTTTGGTTTTGGTCACGCGTCCTGTGAAGATTTAAAAATCACAAGGGGGGCGAAGGGGTGTATTAGATAATGAGGACTTCCAGAAAGGCTCTAACTCCTCCTCCGGGATCATAACGCAGTGGAAAGAGGTCGAGCCCCGGGTTTTCGCCGCAGGTTGTATCCGAGCCCCGGCGGGGGTCACCGGGGCCACGTGGAGGGGGGAGGGGAGGGGGAAACGAAGAGGAGGAGGAGGAGGGGAGCCCCAGGCTAGCAGCGGCGGCGCCCTTCCCTCCTGCCCCAAAACGCAAGGGGGCAGAGGGATGGGCTGCAGACCCCACTTACCTATCTCCAGGACAATAAAGACGACATTTAAGTTTTTCAGTCCGGGCTTAATATCTTTTATAAAAAGAGGTGGGTCGTTGACCCCATTCATATTGAGGCAGGTGCGGCTACAGCTGCGAAGACGCGGGTGGGCAGGGAGTGGGACAAAGCCTCCCACCCTCCCGGGCAAGGGCGAGGGCGCAAGGGAGACTCTGGGCGGGGATGGCGAAGAGAACGGGCAGAAAGCGGTTAGGCAGGGATCAAGGAAACCAGCCCAGACGGCACTGAGTCCAAAAAAAGAAGAAGGAAAAAAAAAAAGGCTCACAAGTTTAAAAGGAAAAAAAGACGAACCAGTCCGCACAAAACCCCGCTCCCAACGGGGCGACAGTAAGGCAAGCGTGCGAACTGAACTGCCCCCCTCTTTTGGATAAAAGGAAGGGGAAAAAAAAGGCAGCGAGGGGAGGTCTCTGCCCTGAGTCCCCCTCACACAACACACACACACACACACACACACACACACACGCGGGCGCGCGCCCAGTCTGTCCCAGGCTTCGGGAAGGGACAGACTGTGACAGCAAACCCGGTGCGGAGACCTAGCAACCACGCAGTCTACGTCCCAAACAGCGACTGCTGAACGCGCCCGCGCGCCGGCTGGACCCCACACCCCGGCCGCCCCGCCCCTTATGACGTCACGTGGCGTCGGCACGCCCGTCGCCGGGCTCGCCCAGGTTGTAGGAAGGGAAGCGAGGGGTCCGGAACCGGCCGGCGTCGCCCGCGCAGCCTCCCTCCCTCCTCGCCGGCTGTCAGCTCGAGCCCCGCCTCCTTAGCCTTCCAATGGGCTCTCGGCACCGCCCCGCCCGTTCCCCGCTTCCGCCGTCGCTGCGCCGCGTCCCCTTTGCCCTGTAATTTTCCTTTTGCAGGCTTCTAGTGCTCACTGTGCTGCTTTAGGTTTTTCTTGCTCTTTTCTCGCTCAGAGTTCAGCCCTCCACCCGAGCCCTTTAATCCCTTTGTCCCAGCGGTTCCAAGGAACAGTGGCTGTGTTTAGCACCCAGTGGGTACGTTAAAAAAAAAAGCGTGATGTTGAATATAGGTTTAGGCCAGGGTGGCTGGTGGGGATGGAAGGAAAAAAAAAACAGTCGGGGATGGGTCCTCATTCCTAAAGCTGGAATTTTAGCCCAAGAAGAGAACTGTAGATCAATTTAACCACTTCTTTTTAAGCATATTTAAATTGAGGTCCGGAAGGGTGGGGTAGTTTGCTGAAGGTCAACCAGGAACTTGGAAGCCAGCAGGACTTGAGCACAAATCATCTGACCTGCTCTTGCACTTTTCACTCTAATACTAGGCAGGTAGATAGTAGTTAAATTCCTTTACAAATTTATTTTTCCTTACCCTTTCCTTCTCACATTATATCCCTTTCCCAATTTTCTCTGTGCTTTTTTTTAATGGGCAAATTTTTAGAGCAGTTTTAGATTCATAGCAAAACTTAAGAGTACAGAGATGTCCGTATATCCCCACTCCAACACATTCCTAGCCTCTTCCATTATCAGTATCCGCCCCCCTCCCTGCCCAGAGTGGTACATTTGTTACAGCTGATGAACCTACATTAACACATCATTATGGCTCACAGTGTATAGTTTACCTTAGGGCCCACTCTTGGTGGTGTACGTTTTATGGGTTTGGACAAATGTGTGATGACTTATATCTACCATTATAGTGTCATACAGAGTAGTTTCACTGCCCTAAAGATATGTGTGCCACCTATTCATCCTTCCCTCTGTCCTAACCCTTCGCAACCACAGATCTTTTCACTGTCTCCATGGTTTTGACTTTTCCAGAATGTGTATAGTTGGCAACAAATACTATGTACCCTTTCAGATTGGCTTCTTGCACTTAGTAATGTGCATTTTAAGTTTCCTCTGTGCCTTTTTATGTGCTGTCAATTTGTTTTTATACATCCAAAAAAATCATGTAACAGTAGTGGGAAACCCTGAAACATTATAATCTGAAAAAAAAAAAGAATAAAAAGTTTCCTTTATCTCTTTACCTCATGTAGTGAGAAGGGGCATGTCCTCTAGAAACAAACCTGGGCTCGGACACCTTAGAGTGTGACCTTTGGGACACTTAAACTTTGTAGTCATAATTTAATAATCTGAAAAATAAAAAAATGCTTGCCTCAGAGAATTACATAGGATCAGAGGTAATTGTCTGACTAGTGCCTAGGAAATAGTAAATATTCAATACATATTTCCCTTATTTTTTATTATTAAGGAAGAGAAAAACAATAGTAGCTTAAACTGTGATTACTTAATCCTTTCATCAATCCTATGTGGTGACTGCTAATTTTTATCCCCATTTCACAGATGATGAAACTCACCAGAGACCACATTGCTAGAGAATGGCTAAACTCGGTTTTGAATCTAGGCAATCTTGACAACCACCACCCCCCCAACAAGAACCCTCCAGCTTAAAGGTAATTTTTTTAGACTTAAATTGCAGTGGTAGAATTAAGCGTTTTAGCAGTAAAATATATCTGTAGGACTTTAAAGAATCACCTAATTAACTTCATGATGGTAACAGAAATGTTGAGAAGAGTCAGAGAATTTGCATGGCAGAAGCCTTGATTTTTTCTTGATTCTTAACTGAGTATTTTTAGATCAACCACCACTTCCCAAACATCTGCAAAGAAGTGGCATAGATATAATACAGCCTGAGAAGAGTTTCAGAGATAATCACATTAGCAGGAGAGAGACATTCTTAAGGAAGCCGAAGCTTGCATCTCATGGACAAATAAGGCCCAGAGAGCCAAAAACACTGATGTAATGCTGGGAAGTAGTGTAAAATAATATTATAAGTATGATTTCAACATCAAATAAAACAAATGATGAAGCATGGCAGTTAATGGCAGAACCACATCCAACCTCAGGGCTCCCAAAGACTCCCACTTAAGATCAGAAGCTCTGATTCTACCAAGTTTATCTAGAAGCACTTGTTGCTTCATTTAGATTTTCCTCAAAGCTATATTCTTCAACACAGGCAAAAACATTCTCACAGAAGCAATATTTAACCAACTGAGCCACCCGGGCATCCCTCACAAAAGAAATATTTAAATCAGACCTTTTTTTTATTATTATTATTTAAAGGTTTGACGAGATCTTAAAAAGATTAGCAAAGATAGGAGACCAGTTAAGAATGTTGAGCACAATCTTGGCCAAGAGTTTCGACAAAGCAAGTTGGCCACTCCTTGTACCCTCAATCATTTGTTCCCAGAAAGGAGATTAGAGAGGGCTGCTCAGACTTATTTTACTGACATTTATAAAGAGGAACCAGGAAACCAAGCCCCACAAAAGCAGAAGCTGATGCTCAGCAGCCCAGCCCTGCCCTAACCCCATAGAAGAGAACTCAGCCAAACATCTACTTCCTCCCCTACTAACTCAGCTGTTCTCAGAAAGGAAATGGCAACCAAGTGCTTTCTCATTCACCAAAACTAAAGACAACCTTGAAAAACAAAATGGTGTGGACAGTGCAGGAACTCTTCAATCCAGATCAGTTGGTTTCAACTAACCCCAATCACCCCTCAAGGGTGGTGGTCAATAAAAAGAGAAAGAGGATGTCTAGAAAAGCAACTATTGCCACTCAATCATTCCTAATATACAATTCAGCAAAGTAAACAAAGAGATCCCTGCTCACTAGGCCCAGCCAGTTAGGTCATGATGATTATACTGCTGATTCTTTACTACATTCACAAGATTACTTCATGGTCTTCTTCCTTCTAAGACTGTTGTTCTTCAAGCCTTCCTCATTTTCAGAGACCAAACATAAACCTATGAGGTCATGAGAAGATTATGGCCAGAACCTCAACATCACTATCCTGTGTGAAAAAAAAAAGTTTAGCGAGATCCAGGACAATAAGAAGGGTATCCATTAGAATCCTAGACAGAAGGGTCTGGTTATCTGCGTCCTCACTGGTGAAGGTTTTCCTGTAAATTTTGCCACCACCCAATACCCATGCTCACTGCCACGTTCTGGTTTCTGGGATCACAAAAATCATTTTCACTTTTGTGGCACTATCCATCTATTCAAAACTATTACATCAGTAAAATAGCTGACCAAGTTCTTTATGAAACTAGACATCTTGTGTGGTGAAACTAACAATAAAAAATTAACAAGAACTACAGTGTTCTCACATTACAGAGGTAATCTACTTTGTAACATAATTGGCGAGGTCAAAAAGAAATGGCCTTAATCTTCTTAAAAAGATTTAACCAAAAGACTCATAAGTGATGTTTAGTAGTATTTGCAACATAGCCCACAAATCATCCCTATAATGATAAATGCTAATACACACTGAGCCTTTGCTATGTGCCAGGCATTTTATACTTATAAGCACCTGATACTTATTAATATATTATTTAATAATTAATATTTTGGAAGTGAATTTTCTCATTTTATAATAAGTTACAGACCTGGGATTTAAAACCAAGTGTTACATAAAATAACTTTTTCTATAAAACAGGCTATTTGCCCTTACAAGTGCACTTCTTTGGTTATCTAAGTGGGTAATTGGATTTTTTTGACGGCTTTGTAGTTCACAGTGGTAAGTGCAACACCAGGTTATTTAATCCCTAATGTCTAATTGTGGTGGGGGCAGTGAAGTCCGCTGGTGAGGAATAACTTTGTAGTTTCTCTTGGGAAGAAATGCATCCCTAAGTAGGTTAATTCAGCTCAGCTATTATCTTTTTAATGATAGTGTGAACAGCTTTGGTTTCTGTGTTCTAAAAACTTTCTTTCAAGTGCACCATACATCTAACTAGCTGCCTGAATTTATTGTTTATTCAGCTGAGAAAGCAAATTATTAGTGGCAACTGAACTAACTCAGAATGAATAAAACAAAATTATTTCTTTATTGGCAGATTTATCTCATTGGAGTATGTATCCTAATCATCATACTTAAAGAGATATTGTAGAGAAGGCTATAAATCACACGTCCAGAGAGCTGACCCAAGTTCTGTAGGGTCAGAAGTCCTTTCCATACTGTGTGTCTAGATGATGAAAAAGAGTTACTTGCACTGTTTGCTGATGTTTCTCATTGTCCTACGTTGCTAGAGAGGGAGTGTTCATGTGCCACCCCAAATTCCTGTGTTGTAATCTAATCCCCAATGTAAAGTGGAGTTTGGAGATAGGGCCTTTGAAAAGTGATTAGATAAGAAGGTGGAGCCCTCATGCAGGGGATTGGTGCCCTTAGGAAAGAGACCCCAGGAGCTCCCTCACGCCTTCTGCCAAGGGAGGACACAAAGAAAAGACGGACATCAGTGAACCAGGAAGCAGGCCCTCATCAGACACCGAATCTGCCAGTGCCTTGATCTTGGACCTCCCAGTCTCCAAAGAAGTGAGAAATAAATTTCTGTTGTTTTTTGTTTTTTTTTTAAGATTTTATTTATTTATCTGACAGAGAGAGAAACAGGAGAGAGGGAACACAAGTAGGGGGAGTGGGAGAGAGAGAAGCAGGCTTCCCGCTGAGCAGGGAGCCCGATGTGGGGCTCGATCCCAGGACCCTGGGATCATGAACTGAGCCGAAGGCAGACGCTTAACCGACTGAGCCACCCAGGCACCCCAAATTTCTGTTGTTGATAAGCCACCCATTCAATGGTATTCTGGTAGAACAGCCCAAGTAGGCTAAGACATATCTAAAAATAAATAAATCATTGATAATTTTAAAAGCCAATTCTCCTGCTCTCAGAATCCTGTTCCTTAATGTGCTTTATAGCTGGCCCGACAAGAGGCATGTAACAGGTTCCACTAGGGTCACGTCTGCCGTGCGTGGCGGTGGAGGGCTTGGTGACTCTTTGTGGAAGTTCTACTTATTCTCTTGGCTTCTCTGTAGTAAAAATAAATATCTTTTCTTATTTTATAGCACTGTACAGCTGACATGCTTTCTCTCCTTTCACACACATGCAAGCACACACATATACCAATAAACCACCTGGAAGAAACAGTCACTGCTTCCATACAAACCTCTAATTAAGAGCATTTTCCATGTGAACATGGAGTGTCCCAGTTGGAAGAATGTTTACAGATAATGGACTCTAACCCCTTCTTTGTGTGTGTGTGTGTGTGTATATATATATGTATATATATATATATATACATGCCCAGAAATGTGAACAAGAGTACTGCTACAGCCCCTAATGAATTAAGGCTCTCAATAATAATCATTATAGGCTGCTAATATCATGACAAAGGGGACAACAGTCAAAACAATGAAATCAGAATCTCTAAAGGTGGAACTCGGGCATCAGTATATGCTAAAACCCCTCAGTGTACCACCAAATCAGAGCCACAGCAGGTTAGAAGACACTTTTTTTTTTTCAGAGTATTTTCTTTATTTTCTGCATACCTATTCTGGAACAGTATTTCCCTTATTCTAGCTTGGGAAATCCTGTACTGAGATAGGCTTCTAGAAGTGAAATTACTGAATGTATAGTTAAGAACTCTGACAGGTATTGTCAATTGACATTTTAGGAATTTTGAGAGACTTATACTCCCTTTTGCTCTTTGTATGTTCATTAAACATAGCTTATTAGTTTATTCAACAAACCTTTATTGAACAACTACAATGTGCCAGCACTGAGACTGCATCAGTAAAAAAAATAATAATAATACAAACAAAAATCCCTAACTTCATGGAGCTTGCATCCTAATGGGAGTAGACAGAAACAATAGACAAAATACATAAAATTATATAGTATATTAGAGGGTGATGAATAGTATGTTGAAAAATGAAGCAAGGGATGGGATAGGGATTTAACAGGAACGACTACAGTGGGCAGGGAAAGTGATATTTGAGTAAAGATAAAAAGGAGAGGAGGGACCTATTGAAAAGGCTCAGGCTGCCTGCCTTTTTCCAGGCACAGTAAGCAGGCTGCTGTGACTGAAGCAGAGTGAGCAAGGAGAAGGTGTAAAGGATGAGGATGGAGAGGGGGCATATCATACAGGAGGACACTGAGTTGGACTCTGAGACAGGACTCTGTTGGAACGTTTTGAGCAAAGACCCAACAAGCTAATCAGACTTAAAAGGATCACTCTGACTGTGGGGTGAAGAACAAAAGGAGCAAGGGTGGAAGCAGGAAGAACAGTGAAAAGATTATTTTATTAATCCACTTGAGATACGTTGTGGCTTGCACAAGAATGGGAGCAGTGACGTTGGTAAGATGTGATAAATACCCACATCCATTTTGAAGAGAGAGCCAACAGGTTTACTGTCTGGTTATAAGCAGAGTATGGGAAAATGAGATGAATCAAATATGACTACTAGATTTTTGGTCTGAGCAACTGGAAAGAAGGTTATCATTCACTGAAATGGTGAAGACTCCCAAGTGGAACAGCTGGGGGAATGTGGAAAGATCAGGAGGGCCATGTTAGACAAGGAAAGCTGTGAGGCAGGAAGAACACAGGAAGGAAACTGGTGTCCTGGATGCCAGGTGAACTGAATGTTTCTGGGAAGAAGGGGTGATTGTTGTGTCAAATGCTGCTGATAGATCAGGCAGGATAAAACCCAGGGTTGATCATTAGGCTTAGCAAAAATGAAAGTCATGGCTGACTTTGACAAGAGCAGTTGCACTGGAGTTGGTGGGGGTGAAAGCCTGAATGGATTGAGTCAAGAGATAATGCAAGTCGAGGAATTGGAAATGGTAAAACAAGTATACACAACTCCTTCGAGGGGGATCGCTGCAGAGCAAAGCAGAGCAAAAGGACAATAACTTAAGAGGAAAGTGGGACAAAAGAGTGGTTTTTTTTTTTTTAAGATTTTGTTTATGTGACAGAGAGAGAGAGCACAAGCAGGGGAAGCGGCAGGCAGAGGGAGAAGCAGGCTCCCCGCTGAGCAGGGAGCCCATTGTGGGACTGGATCCCAGGACCCTGGGATCATGACCTGAGCCGAAGGCAGACGCTTAACCGACTGAGCCACCCAGGCATCCCAAAAGAGACTTTTTTTAAGATGTGAAAAATAATGTCATGACTGTGGGCTGAAGAGAATGGTTCAGTAAATAGAGGGAATTTCTGGAGACACATCCTTGTCCTTGAGTAGGTGAGAGGGGGTGGGAGTGAGAGACCCTGTGAAAGTGTTGATGGGAGCATAGAAGATTCTTCTGGAACAGGAGGGGAGATGCTAGTGGGTGGGGTGACATGGTGGTGTGGGTATGTGGAAATCCTCTTCTCGTTGCTTGCTTGCTTGCTTGCTTGCTTGCTTTCATTTATTTAAATTCAGTTAGCCAACATATAGTGCATCATTAGTTTTTGATATAGTGTCCAATGATTCATTAGTAGTGTATAACTCCCAGTGGTCATCACATCATGTGCCCCCCTTAATGCTACTACTTTCTGAGTGAAATAAGCAAGATCATCCATTTAGAGTAAAGATGGGGAGAAGATGCTGGAAGCTTGAAGTGTGGAAGGGGGTATGAAATAGTTGTCAGGGAACGTGGGAGAGTGAGTGAACTAGGGAAATGTATTACAGTTTTACAACAGGACTAACTGCTCACTTGAAGGCAATTAACAGTAAATTTAGAGTTAGGCCACTGCACATAGTTTTGTTTTCTATTTTTATTTTTTATTTTTATTTATTTTTAAGATTTTTATTTATTTATTTATTTGTCAGGGAACGTGGGAGAGTGAGTGAACTAGGGA